CTATAAAGTAACCCTAGTAGTATAGGGCCCCAAATTAGGGGATCTACTTTCTAGATCCTCCCGCGGGTTATATATCAGATTATGGGGGCTTATAACAGCCCAGCCTACCCTTAAATTAGCGTCTATTAGCGTCAATTAGCGTCTTACTAGCGTCAATTAGCGTTGTGAAATTCCTTGAGAAACACAGTCTGTACATTTGTTGGAAGGCATATTGCCAAGTGTTTTCATTTGTCCTGCATCCCGGTTATAAGCACTTCGGGGACTGTTTCGCGGCGGAGGACCGGAGGGGGTTTCAGCTTGGAGGATGCAAGCATTGACAGCAGATTACGGCACAACGACGCAACAACCATGAACAAATGCTAAAAACATGAAACCCAAAACATAATGAATACGATAAAACATCACTAATTCCTCGTTTGCAAGAATTTCAGGATTTCTGCCCGGCCTGTCGCAGGCCCTCACCAAATGACGGCAGCCCGGTAGAAAAAGACGAATAAACGATACATCCATGAACACGAATGGTGATGAAGACGTCAATAAAGCAACTATTTCCTGAAACTCTCCTCACCTCGAAAACTCCAGGATTTACCCCAACGTTACAAAATGAGGGGTGAGAGGTTTTCCTCACTTCTCGAAAGCTGCAATAGTCACCCGTCTCCTTTCCGGCCTTTCCCGCCAAATCGGGCAAAGTCATAGAGAACAATGAGAAAGACGATAAAGACGAACATGGAAATAATAGCGTGACAGAACGGTGAACCCACGATAACAACAATTGACGTTGCAGCTGTACATGATGAGCACGACGGCGACATAGATGATGAAAGAAGTGAGCCCGTCTCTCCATCAACGAATCTCGAAGTAGCGGTATGAACTAACGCTTCATTAATTAGCGTCTAGCATCCATTAGCGGCATGAGCGTCTTTCTGTTGGCGCTTATAAGCGCCCACTGACGTCCATTTATATATCTATCGCAGCAGCTATTTGCGTGTAAAGGCGTCGATTTATATCAGCATCGATTAGCGCCGATTCACGTCGATTAGAGTCGATTAGCGTCGATTAACTTCGTTTAACGTCGATTAGCGTCGTTTAGCGTCGATTAACGTCGATTAGCGTCGACTAGCCTCGATTAGCGTCGGTTAAGTAATGTCGATTAGTGGTCGATGGGCGTCGATTATGGTCGATTAGCGTCGATTAACGTCGATTAGCGTCGACTATAACGTCGATTAGCGTCGGTTAGCGTCGATTAACGTCGATTAGCGTCGATTCATGTCGATAAAAGCGTCCATTTACTGTCTCATAGCGTTCTTTATTGTCCATGCGCCTCCATTTACCTCCATTACAGCGTCTATATACACGTCCATGAGCGCCAATATCCCAGCACTGAAGATCGAGATGTGCAGACAACATGGACCGGCTACTGGACTTAACGGGTTTCCTTACCATCTGCCCTTAGCCTTGCATGAGTATCATTGAGTATCCCTCAGTGAGCGCCGTGTGCTGCACGGCTGAAGCCTTTTTACTCATTCTCAAGCCCGTCACAAAGTCCAGTGTCAGCCTGAATCCTCGATCAAGCAACTGCAAAATGCGCCCATGACCACCTCTCACTCGTATGAAAAAGGGGTTTGTTCAGCAAGTCCTTGTTCGGAATGTTGGCAATAATTGAAGGTGCTTTCGCCGGATTCGGCACGTTCTATACATTCTGGAGCAGTCGACCAGATATCGAACTGTCTTGAAGTGAATTGTGGAGCCGAAAAAGCACGAACCAAGGAAGAAGCATCCTCAAAACCTATGAAATAGATTAATAACACCGAAACCTTCTTGCACGAAACAATCACACACATCTCGTTGCCGTTCTCCCGTTCTGAATCAGGAAAGACTGCCGGCATTTCACTATGTTGAAAAGCTACCCCGAACCTATCAGCAAGTACAGAAAACTGCCAAGCCCTCCCAAACACTGCCAAGATATAAGATTTAAGATGTTGCAGTTTTCCGAAGTTTGTTTAAGTGCAGTATCGAATGCTCCGGAATGAGGCGGTGCGGTGCGGGAATTTCGCTTATTATCTGCCTTCCTAACAAGAACTACTCGCACTTCCAGTACAAGTGACTCCGTTGTTTGGTGATGTTTGTGATGTGCGCCTGCCATTTTCGAAGAATACCTTGCTGAAAGGAACCCGTACCGCGCAGAAGAACCTCTTTTCCATCGAGACTTGTTTGCCACATAAATTACCGGCCCATGTGAAACTGCGAATCTAAGCAAGCAGGCAGCAGACTAAACCCGCGCATAGGGTTGTGCGGACCCCCCATATTATGTTATATAACGCGGGGGTCTGGGTACTCATGTCTGCCCTGTAGCCTGCGCCTAGTATACAGTAATCGAGACGCCTCAATTGATTGCACTGATTTTAGCAGTTATGGAGCCGCCAGGAATTCAGGCCCCGGTTATGGCTTACCCTGAACCCTGCCCTAAACCGTACCTTCACCCCCAAGACCCTTTTAAGGAGTTAAATTTCAGGAAGTCACAGGGAAACCTAAAGCGGAAGGTTTCATAGCTTTGAGGGATCCCTAAACCCTAGCCCTAAACCCCTACTCCCTGAACCCTAAACCCTAAACCCTTACACCCCGAAGCCTAAACCCTGAACCCTAATCCCTTACACCCTGAAGCCTAAACCCTGAAGCCTAAACCCTAAACCCTTACACCCTGAAGCCTAAACCATGAACCCTAAACCCTTACACCCTGAAGCTAAACCATGAACCCTAAACCCTAAACCCTTACACCCTGAAGCCTAAACCCTGAACCCCAAGCCCTAAAGGGAACTCCAGAAAGTTGGAATATGGATTAATGGTAGGATCCCCTATAGTTTACCTTAAAGGGGTTACGATAATGATATTCTACTGTAAACCCCTAAACCAGACTCAGAGCCCCACAGGCCAGGCTTTGCGACAGTGCCCACAAGCAGCGTGAGAGCGACGATGGACCGAGCCATTGCCATGGGAAACCCAAAGGGACGGAGTGAGAAAGGACCGAACGGTTTGGGGCCAGGCTTTACTACTATTTGCTTAAGAACACCCCAAAATTAACAAATATATTCCTTATAGGGATAATATAGGGATTATAACTTTTTATTGTTTGGGGGGTTCTTAAGCAAATAGTAGTTTAGGGCTGTAGAGGTCTATCATGAGCTTTCTTTTCAGCACAAGACGACGAGTTCGACTCAACCGTCCTGGGTTTCGAGCCCAAGCCTCTCAGACGTGCAGCTTTTCCGGTGACTCCCAAACATCCATACTTGTGAATTACTTGTTGAAGGGCTCCCTCAGCGGAAGACCTCATAAGGATGTATAGGGTCTTGTGATCTTATGGGCGTGTACGGGGGGTTTAGGTTTAGCAGTATGGTTTCTAGAAACACATACGTAAGTCTTGCACTTTCTTAGGATCCCATCTACTATTAATACTAGGTGTCGATTTCAACAGTCCCCAAAATTATGTACAGCTAGGGCTCTATATTGAGCAAAGAGTGAAATTGAAAGTTTGCCCAAGAAATGGTAGGAATAGTTTCTCAATATACTACACTTGCAAGGGATGCTGGAGTCTGCGCGTTTCCGATAGCTCTGCAACACCATGCTGTCAATCCCGAACCCTAAACCACAGGGTCCAAGTACCCATTTATTGGGGCCTGGGGTCCCAAAATCCATACTCTGAATGATTTTTCTACCTTGAATACCTACTACTTGGGCGCTTGGATCCTTAAGGTTAAACAGTCCTAACCTCCAAGTTCTGAACACGACTCCGAATTGCAAACCTCTCATCCTGTACCCACAAGTGTCAAGCTAGACTCTCATTGATGATACCGGATCCTAAACCCTCCCATCAATACAAAAAAGGCCGGAACCTTTGAAACACGCGTTTTCCTGTATTTGTTTCAAAAAACCAACTAGGATCACAACAAATCGATTGATCGTACATCCTACACGGGATGGCAGCTTGGTATTGGAAGGGGACGCTGGCTTCTGCGATGGGGTCAGAACAAGCTGACACGAGGTGCACTCTACTCAAAGGTTCATGGGACAAAGCAACTCTAGGTAGTTATGAAGCATTCCAATGACCCTGCCAGTAGCTCCTCGTCATGAAACACAGCCTTTCCTGAAAAGCTTCTGATTCTGTGCGAAAGATCGAACATGCAGATGCATTCTGTCTATGCTCGCACCCATATAGCAAACACGTATGTATGTATGTATGTATGTGGATGCTACAGGCATGCGACGCGAAGCTGTGCAGGCTTCGCATGCTCGGGCCGTATAAACCCTAAAAGACCCGAGGCCCAGGGGTTGCAGCTGGCTTTACTTGGCAAGCCATTCATGTCGGGGCCTCAAGAATGGGAAGAAGGGTTTTTTTGGGGGGGTATGTTCTACCAAAACTATAACAAGGACCCCCCCCCCAAAAAAAAAAAAACAATAGTAGAGGCAATTTCGCAGGCCCCTGTAGCAGCTTCTCCTTACAACCTTCGACATATATCACAGCTTCTGTAACTCGTCACGTGCTTTGCTAAATCACGACTATCGGCTGCAATGACATGATGCAGACGAATGATGACCGCGACCAGGACGACGACGATGATGATTCTCGCGATATTGCTGTTGATCATCATGATGGTGCTGAGGATGGCTCTTGTTATCCTGGTGCCCGTCCTTACTTCCTTCATGGACCTAAACCCTTAAACCCGAAACATTCATCAAACGACAAGACGGCCCCGACGCTGAAAACCCTATTCTAATTATCAAGTCCCCTACATTTTAGTACCCCTATAGATCCCTTATAGTAACTCTTAAAGACTCCTTTAAAGGAACCCATAGATCCCTTATAGTAGCTCTTCTATACTGAACTTAGAACCCTAGCAAACATTATAACTTTAGCTGCGGGGTTATAATAACCAAAATTTAAAATTATTCCTAAGTACCCCTAAGTTTAAAGGAACCCGATTCGAACTATGTTTGAAAGGACCCGCCTTGATGCTCAGGCCATTGCTGCTGCGCACGTCGCTCGCTTGGAATATCGCGGCCACCCTCTCGCACTCCTGCCCGGGTCGGTTGGGTTTAGGGTTTGGGGTTTAGGGCTTAGGGCTTAGGGCTGTGTGGTTTAGGGTTTAGGGCTTTAGGGTTTAGGGCTTTAGGGTTTAGGGGTTACGGGGTTTCGGGTTTAGGCGTTTCGGGGTTTAGGGTTGTTAGGCAACCCGAAATCCATGCGGTTGACCCTCCGATAACTTCAAGGCTTCCACACGCTGCCAGGGAGGCTTCAGAAAGGTACAGTAGAAGCCAGAAAGTTGGAATATCATTATCCTAACCCCTTTAAGGTAAATTATAGGAAATCCTACCATTAATCATTAATCCATATTCCAATTTTCTGGAGGTCCCATTATAGTTTGGGATCGAGGTTTGGGGGTTCAGATGATTCCGATCCTACCCAATGAGGCCCCTAATATTATCAGGCTCCGTTCTTTTCAAAGCCTTCCATAACTAGGATACCCAAGAATAAGAAGGCATCTCGTTTTGGTATTGCGTAACTTTATAAGGAACCTAGGACTATAAAAAGGGGAATAAGGGTACTACTGGGCATCCTAGATAAGAACAGCATGGTCCAACGCTTGTTCTCAGGTTGTTGTAAGTCTGGCTTATCGGAATCCCCACGAACTTTAGCAAGTTAAGAGGTATGCGAAACCTCGCAATACTCGACCTCATGACTGTCAACCACTTCTCTGACCATGAAACCTCTGTTGAAACCGCTATCAGCATTACCTTGCTGTGCTCTGATTAGGGAAATATGAAATTAGTGCTTGCTGGGGGCCTGCTTCAGATGGAAACCCCATTGAAGATTGCAACCGAAGACTCAATCTCGAAGCATCGACGCTACAACCGCGTGCCATCAACTCTTATTGATGTAGGGTTTGGGGTTTGGAGCCCTCGGGTGAGATCCAGGCATCAATGGCTCCTTCTCACGGATCTTCGTCAGCACCCTGCAGGGAGGCACTTGTCTTGCACGTTTGGGGTGGAGTGCCGGGGGCCGGGCCAGGATGCTCTGTTTTCTAGCGTTCTCAGCATGGTGCTGCGTGCGCTGTACGTTCCGGACCTACTGGAAGTTCGGAATCTTCTGAGTGGCGTCACGGTCTGCGTTATGACACAAGATCGAAACCCAAGCCAACGACGCAAGCCAGCGCAAACAGACATCGGCAACTACCCCCGGATCCCGAAATTTATTCACAATGTTGAGAAACGTGGAAAACATCGACATACTGCTGATGGACAAAATCCTGCATGACCCTCAGGACTCTAAACTATGGGAATTATGGTATATTCCTTATAATGGGTAATGCAGGATTTTGTCCATCAGCAGTACTGCGGAAGCTTCCCTGCCTTTGCCCACGAACACTCTAAAAGGAACCTGTCCAAGAGCTCTCTGGCCTCGGAAACTTTAAATCCCAAGCCTTGCAAACCGAAGCTCTGTAGCCTGACCATAGACCCTAATTGGGTACTGCCCCCCATACAGTAACAGTCTAGAATAGGGCTACTATGAAGGTCCTGATATATCCATATTATGAATATTATCCAACTGTTACTGAGTGCGGGGCAAGTAGCCAAGACTCTAACACGCGAGATCCCAAACCCTACCACTAGCCGTTTACCACAAACCTACACCCGAGCACCGAACTGCCTTCAACCCTCGACCAAATAACTTGAAACCATGTAAAAGCATGATGTATAGCCTCTACCGAAAAACATCGTAAGACGCCCCAAAACCCTGGCTATCTATTCGGGTGCTAGGAACTCCCCTTTAGGCCTTGACCCTACACCCCAAAACCCCAAAAACACCTTTTCACCCCAAACTCACATTAAACCCGGAACCCCATGGAATCAAACCCCCAAACCCAAAACAACCCTGAGCCCCTAAACCCTAAACCCTCAATCCTAAACTCTTAAATCCTAAGCCCTAAACCTCTCAACTCCCGATTCAGCCGCGGCGCCGAGCGCATTGCCGAAGGCTCAAGCGGTCCTTGGATCGCCTCGGCAAAGGCTCCGAAGGGGTTTAGACCCCCCTAATGGCCCTTTAATGGAGCCCTTAGGGTCCTCAATAGTGGGTATTTAGGACACATTTGGGAGTTTCCGAAAATAGGGGACCCTAATATAGTACCCGAAATAGTAGGATCCGTATTATAGGGACCCCAAGATAAGGTACCCCTATTTTCGGAAACCCCCATTTGAGGGTAGTCTAAGTAGGGTTGAGGGTTGAAGGTCTGGTCTTGGTATTTGGGCATGCTTCAACACAACTGCGCGCTTACCACAGACCTTAGACCTTATGGTAAAAGCCAGAAAGTTGGAATATGATTATCCTAAACCCTGTATGGTAAATTATAAGGTATCCTACCCTGAAACCACATTTCAACTTTCTCCAGTCTCTTTCGTTCTGCTCTGTCATTTCCTGGACCTGAAACTTGACGTCCTGAATTTGTCCCGTCAGGGACTTCACGCAACCAGCCACATGTTCCTGGGATCGACGTAGTCTCGTCGACTCCTCTGTGTTCTTCCTGATCGACTCTGCGATCTCGTTCCTTTCTGCGCTGGCTTTCCTGAGTTCTGTGGCGGCTTCCTTTAGCGCTTCCAGTTCTTTGAGAACTTCGCTGTTGTTCCTTGCCGTACTCGCGCTAGCTTCCGTGGCTGAGGTTCCTTGACCTTCTGCTACTGGCCACACTATTCCTTGTACTCCTGAGCGTTCCGCGAGTTTTCCGCAGAATTGGAGTTCCCTTTATGTGATTATTCCCTAAGCCCCTGAACAGGCCTTAAACCCTAATCCTTAAGCCATCTCAAACCCCAGACAGAAAATACACTACTCAACACCCAGCTGAACCAAAACCAAGCAAGTTAATATAGGGGGCTTAACGATAATCGGAATTTGGGTTTGGTTGCCAAATTTCTTTTGTTGGCAATTATTTACGCCCCTATATAGACGCCCCTATATAGCAATTTCAAGACTTCCCGAATTCCACTGTAAAAACCCAGAGCGCTTGGAGAGGCGAAGTTCCTTTTGCCTGCGAAGGCAAAATTCATTTAGGGGTTTAGGGTTTAGGGCTTAGGGTTTAGGGTACAGGGGTTTAGGGGTTGAGGGCAGATTTTGTGGTGTTGGACGTCTTCGTCTGCAGGCACGACTAAGCCCTAAACATTAGGTACGGCCCCCATACAGTAAGAGTCTATAATAGGGCTACTATGAAGGTCCTACTATATCTGTATTATGAATTAACAACTATTTCTGAGTGGGGTCGTACCCAACCTAAACACTAAGCCTCCGCAAAACCACAAACCCCAAACAGCAAGACCTCAGTCCTCAAAGTAGCCCTAGCTATAGATCCCTTACTCTGGGTTCGTGTTAAAGGCTTTCATTTAAGTTATCGTTATAGGATCTATAGCAAATAATACGGCTTCTTTACGATGGCAATTTCAACTAAACTCCTTGACAAGAGCCCAGTATGCTATTTAGGGAATTGCAAAGCCACATCTGAGCTGGAGGGCTGCTGATCGTTGGACTCTACCTTTGAGAGCTCTTCCTCGAGGTTGGTGAAAGATTGTCGTAGGGGCCGGTACTGGGGCTTAGAGATTTAGTGTTCAGGACTTTAAGCTTTAGGGGCTCACGGGTATTAGGGTTCAGGGGTGTAGGGTTTGGTGTGTAGGATCCTTGATGAGAGGAACCGGGTTCCCTCAAAGGGTGCTGATAAGGCTGTGTTGGGTTGGTTTCGTAGTGGCTTTAGCAATTTGCCTTGGGTGTTGGGGTATGCTTTTTTGATTCTGATAGGGACCAAAAAAGCTTAGCAGAGATCGCAAAAACTGTTTCGACGAAGTTGCTTCTGCAAGTTAAGAAGCTTCAATGCACAGCAACACCTACGACCTCGCCTGCGCCTAGAAACAGGATGACCTTCACTTCAGGGCTTTACAAGCTGTGAGACCGGAGGGGAAAAACCGTGTCCCTTGAGGCACGTGGAATAAAAACCCCCCGAGAGAAGAAAGCCCGCTCTGATAGGGAACCCTCACGTAAACCCTAAACCCTAAACCGCAAATGATCCGCACAAAGAACTGGCAACCCTTCAAGCATCTATATCAAGCTGGCCAGGCTTCCGAAGCCCTCCGAAGAACAACGTCTGAGCATCAAGTTCATACGAATGCCGTAGAGCAAAAGTCTGACAGCAGGAGACTTAAGACGGCCAAGCTTCGTCAACACTAAACCCAAAATCTTAAACCCTAAACCCTAACTCCTAAAATTCACAAACAGAGGCCCCAAGGCTTTAGCAAACCGGGCGACCCTTATGCGCCGACAACTTGTCAGTTAGGGCCTCTGGGCGTGTAACGCCTTGGTTTGCAGTGCTTGGGGTTTTGGGGCCAGCATGTAGGAGTTTCCGAAAATAGAGGAACCTAATACAATACTCAAAATAGTAGGATGCTTCTTACAAGGACCCCCCAAAACAAGGTACCCCTAACTTTCGGAAACTCCTATGAAGGGTAGAGGAGTTTCGTCTTCGGGTCGACGGCCTAAGGGTGTCGGGGTCGAGGGTTTCAGGGTTCAGGGCTTAGAGTTTAGAGTTTCAGGGTTTAGAGTTTAGGGAGAGTTTAGGGTTCCAGGGTTTAGAGTTTAGGGTTTCAGGGTTCAGGGTTTAGGGTTTCAGGGGTTCGGGGTTCAGGGTTTCAGGGACATGTCTAGGAGTCTAGGGGAGGTCTTGAAGCCCTAACCCCGAAACTGACGTGAATGATGAGTCCACCCCTACCTATCCAAGTACACAACAGTCGTAGCAAAACCTGCTCCGAGCCACCCCGAAACGCTGAGCAAGCTAAGCCTTAAGCCCAAGACCCTGGTTTAGACTCTGGAGTTTAGAGTTCAGGGTTTTTCAGTCCTGTGCCAAGAAGTGCAGGAGTGATTGGCTAGGTCCTGTCACGGAGCTCTGCAGGCTTGTGGTTTAGAGTTTCAGGAGTCCCTGTTTTTTTAGTGAAAGCTTTCGGACGGATTCTCTACAAACATCAAGGGTGAGTTATCAAGGGGGTTCTGAAAGTAAAGGGTTAAGTATGTGCAGAGTAGGATCGAGGTTACTAGGTTGAGTACTGCATAATGTTCGGGGTCGGTTAAGGTTGGAGGATGATCACGCCTTTAAAATGTCAGGGCCGCCATGTGAAGCTTGACCTGTAGCTCAACAAAGTAGTGTTCGTGGATCTAAATACAGGTGTCCCCAGCCTGAACACTACCTCAACCCTAAGCAAATCAAATTAACCTTCTGGGATCCGGATATTTATCTTCCAGGCCTTCAAAATTTCTGGTGGCGAAGGTAAACCCTGAACTTCAAAGCCAGTTCTTTTTCCAACTATACCACGACACTACTGCGGTTGGGGGGGGCTGAGCCAAGTTGATTTCTTTACATTCCTGTGGTACGAAACTCTATACAAAAGACATGAGCAACTCTTGAATTGACATGTAAGCACAATGACACAACTCTAGGAGCAAGAAACATCAAGGCACATGACATCCCAAACTGCTCAATATACCCGGTCCTTTCTTGGGCAGCATCTCGGTGTCCAGCAACACCAAAGGGAGGTTGGCGATCTGGAGATTGTTGAGGGTCCCAGGACTGGGGTGTTTTTATGACTTGGGGGCTTTGGGGTTCTAGGATTCCCGGACCACTGCAGAATCTTTACGTAAGCTTTGAACAATGGCTATTTGCTGTATATCCCTGAAATGTAATCAGTAAAGGTGACCTGTTTCCCACTGAAGCATGTAGAGGGTTAAGGCACCAAAACCTTGTACTTAAACTCCTTGAATCCCGTATCTCGAAGCCGTAAGCCCGCAACCATGAAATCCTATACCCTACTGAGGCTCTTCAACTGGTAAGTTTACATGCCGGCCTTAATGGTTGCAATTGAGTTTGGGGTATAGTATGCCACGATTCTGCCAAGGAGCCCCAAGCCAGTATTGGTATTTATTTAAGCCCCTAGATCACGTACTACCTCCAAAAGGAATCTTCATGCCTCGTCTTACTAAAACTGCGTACTCAGCCAACACAGCCTGAAAGTCAGGGCCGGCTATATATATAAGGGTCCCCTATTTTTGCAAACCCCCATATAGACTCTGGCTCATGTAACTAAGACAGTGTGCAGCAAAATGTATGAACTCGTGTGGAACGTGGGGCGTTTGGCTTCAGCGTCCAAGCTGTTCGCTTGAAAACGATGCAACGAATTGCAAACCATGCCGGGAAGCGATGTCATGTGCTTCAGGCAAACAATACGCACCTGCTGACGTAAAGCTGAACCCCTAAACCCTAAACCCCTGAACCCTTAAACCCTAAACCTCCGAACCCCTAAACCCTGCCAACTCCAAAATCCCTGCCGAACCAATGGCCAAAAGAAGTCACCCCCTGTGACGGGAAGTGTTTCTGGGCTCTTCAATTATAGTATCCTTATGGGAGGGGGCTCCAAGGGGGGTAGATAACCTACTAATCCCGGTTACTCATCCCTAGTTCTCAGTGCTCCCTAAGGTTCCCTTAAGCTTCCTTAAGGTTCCCTAAGGATCCCTTCTAATTACCCTCCCCCTTGAACCACCCTCCCTTAAGGACCCATTCAAGCTCAAACTCCTACATCCAAACCCCCAGAGTAGCACCGCATGAACACTGAAAGAAGCCCGTATAATACGGCCCGTATAGAAACCTTTTTACATCCCTTTAAAAGAACCTACAAATGGATGCTTATTCCCACCAAAACTTGAAAGTTGACGATTGGACAGCTAAACAATCAAGCTCTGAAGCGCCGCTGCACCTAAACGCTATGAACACTATGGTTTGAGGTCTAGGGTTTAAGCCTAAACCAAAACCTAATATAGGGGCCTTAATACTTCGAGCGGGGTTTCGGTGGTGTTTAGTATTGCTATAGTCGAATACACCCCCAAACCTTATTCTAATTACTAAGGCCTCTATAGCACACCCCAAACCTGTACCCTACCTCGATGAAATGCTCGTCGATTCTGCGCTTCTCAAAAGCATCCCGGAGCTCGACCAAGGCGTCCTTCCGAAACCCCAAATCCAAAACCCTAAACCCTGAACCCTAAACCCTAAAACGTGAACCCTCAAAAACTATATAAATACAATAAATTGCTTGTCATCGTTGGTAGCCACGGCCTCAACAACCACAACAAGCTGGCAAGCACCGCCGCCAAAAAGCGTAGGTCACCGACATCCAAAAGCCTAGGGCAAAGGGACATCCATTTTGTTCAACTTTAAACATTTTAGTTTAAACCGTCAATTTCAGCTCGCGTCCCAGCCCTAAAATCGACCTGTCCCCAAATGGAGTTGCAAAAAAAATATTACGGAATTTCCTTCTGTAGCGGGAAATTGCCGAGTTCAGAGCAATTCCCCCAAACGTCCAACTTCCCCAGGACAGTCTTCTCCGACCGACAACAAACACACGACCCAGAACGCAGCAGCTACCAAACGCCCGACTTTCCCAGGACAGTTTTCTCCGACTGACAACAAACACACGACCCAGCACACAGCAAGCTAGCAAGCGCCCAACTTTCCGAGGACAGTTCTGTCCGACCGACAACAAACACACGACCCAACACGCAGTAGCAACCAACCGCCTAACTTTCCAGGACAGTTTTCATTCTCGGCCGGCGATCCTATCTAAGCTTTATCAGGGGCTGCATGACGTCTTTGCGCAAGAAGCAGTTATATGGAAGTCAGTTTCAAACCGAATATTGCGTGAGTAGCTACTGGAGGCTCGGTGTACCTACGCGAGCTTCGATGGCGAGTGTTCCCGTCCTTTCAAGACAATGGGCTTGCTCAATCTTGGTCTTCACTAGTGGTTTTGGCCCATACCCCCTTTTGTCTTACAGGTTATGGCATCCCTATAGGGATGCCATAACCGTAGGGGTACGCTAGGTTTAACAAACGCCCGAAAGCACAGAAGCCTTTTCAGCTAACTTGGCATCCATCACTGCAGGCTAAGCAAGAGGAATGAATGGCTTTTTGACGCCATCCCCTCGAACGGCTGCTGCATGCAGGAGTGCAAAGTTGTTCTCCCGCACTGATGTCCGCTTGGGCAGACAAGTTGACGTCCGGTTGCGGCACCCCAATCTGCCCCAACCGGGCTGCCGCAGTCTTGTCTAAAATTGCACCCAGATCAGCCAAAGGATCAATATCTGGGAGCTTCAGAAGTCGGGCGAGGGCTTTGGAAGAACGCTCCGCATTCCGTGCCACGCCTGCTGCCATCAGCAGTTCTGATGCTACAGCAACGACTGCGAAAGGCGGATACGTTTTCGGACTGTCATTCGCAGCTTCCGAGCAAGCACCCGCCTGAATAGCACGAACAAACATCCTGTCTCGCGTAGGATCCGAGGACGCAGACACAGCCTGTTGCAATCTCTCGGCGATTGCACAGACGATGCCCCCTACAGGCAGCGTGTCTACGGAAAGGGTATAATCACGGTACTGCTGCATGTATGGCACAACATGTTTTCGTTGCTTTGCAATCCGGTGCCTTACCGATGTTGTGGCGGCTTGCAGCTCCGGGACTCCCAGCCCTTCGGCAGTCATTGTGGCAAGCCGGATCAACAGCGGGTTGTTCGACCACGAACGAACTGAAACAGCCCCTGAACCTTTGCGGGAGCTATATAAAACGTTAGTTGCCACCACTCAGGCATGTGTGGGTAAACGCCTTGCGTTCCACACTTGCACGTCCCAGGGCTGCATCACAGGGTGGCTCCAAAGAGCAAGCTCACCCAGCCACGTCTCGTTGTTGACGATGATGTGGCATTCGCGATCCGGGCGCAAACATCGCAGTCAGTGTCTCGGAATTATGCACCTGTTCAGTATGCAGCTCCTGGCCTCCAACATACCCCAAGGATCAGATACCCCCACCTCGCTCAGCCCGACCAACAACGAGACCAGCCCAGCACCCCTATCTTTCTGTCTTGCCCAACCGAGCCCCGCCCCCCCCCCCCCCCCCCCCCCCCCCGGCTCAGTCCCAGCCCGGCCCATCAACTCCGAAATCAAGCTCAAAAAGGAAACCTGCTCAAAATGCTTCGGTCAAAGCTTTCGCTCAAAAACTTTCGCTCAGAACTTCTTGGCACCCGCACTCTTAACACTTTCCATGAACCCTAAACCTAAACCCTCAACCCTGAAGCGCTAGGGATTAGGGTTTAGGGCTGACTCCTAAAGCGTTGAGTGGAAACTGGCCATATAGTCTGCAAACTTGGGTATGATATCCCCATCTAGCCCCTGTGTAACTGTCGTATAAAATGGCCTCCAAGCCCCGTTCGAATTACGAAGGCCGTTTTACTTGGAGGATCAGGGGACTTAGTAAGTAAGGTTATAAGTACCCTGCTTGGGGTTGTTTAATTACAGGCATAGTTATCTCACTTATAACCCTAGTTACTAAGTCCCATATTCCTTTAAGTACTACACATGGGGAGTTCAGGGAGGTTTGGAATTCAGATTCTGGGGTTCTTCAGGGTTCAGGGGGTTTTGCGTTTGGGGTTTAGGGTTCAGGTTCTGCAAAGGAAAGACAGCTCCAGTTTCTTGATCCTGCACTACATGCGGGTGTCACCAGGATTTCCGAAGCCCCTAGTTAAGCCTCAAAACCCTGTCGGCATTTTGAGGAGGTGTGGTGTTAGTTGCATGGCTCCTTCATGCAAAGGTCTGTAAGAGAAGGATCCCGCCATTGTTGATTCGGGTTCTTGGTAAAGGTCAGATATTCTCTGATATTGCGACTTAAGAATTCAATTATTTCCAGATGAACGATAAAGCCCTGAGCACGAAGTCACGAAACCTTAGTTCACATTGCAAAGCTGATGTTGCGGAACGGGAGCGACATGTCTGACCCTAACCCTAACACCAAAACCTGAACTAACCAAGCTGAAAGCCGTTCTAAGTTCTGACACCCACACAACGCCGCTTCAACACCGTTTAACTACATGCATCACTACAAGTCCACACAGGCAAGCCTTAAAAGCATGTCCCCAGTGACTCCCGAACCCCTTAGTTTAGGAATATCCCTTGAACTACAACCGGAACCCTGATATGATGTAAAGCACATTGCTTAATTAAGAATCATTTTCGTCGGGGTTCCTTATCATACTTACACCACAAGGGAGCTCATCAAAACCATAACATCCTAAGTATTGCGGCCCCTATACTAACCGTGGTAGTAGCCCTTATAGCAACTCTATAGACCCTCAGAAGAACCCTTTAAGGGAACCCTGTTCTATTATGTAATTCAGGCCCATATATTCGTCCCCTTATCAGAACCCTGTAAACGAACCCTGGGGGGTTTTGGAGTCTCTGGGTCCTGCCACAGCAGCCGCTTGGCCTCATCCAGATCCAGCTCCTCGCAGCATCGCGGAAGAACTCAGCGACTCCAACATCCTTACCATATGTCTACTTAAAGGAGCATGGGACTTATCAACTAGGGTTATATATAAGGTAACCATACTTACAGTTACTTACTAAGTCCCCTGATCCTCCAAGTATGTCTATGACTATGACTATGTCTATGACGATGTCAACGTCTATGTTGTACTATATGTACATGCACATGGGGATGTAAGTACATTCTTTATGCACATGCATATATACACGTATACACAGACCTTTCTGAACTAGCCAAGCTAGCATGTTTCGTAATACACCGTGGATATAAAGCCTAGCCCACTGATGTTTGCAAGGTCCCACGAACCCGAAACCCTAGGGCTCCAGTTACCTAAATAGTAGGTTACTAACCATATAGCCCATTATTTGGGTAACTGGAGCCCCAGGGAAACTCGAAAATCAAACTAACGCATGGCCCACGGGACGTGATGTCCCGTCTCGAGAGACGAAACATGAGAGGTGCAGGCAATCCAGCCCGAGCTTTTGGAGGTTTGTACCTGTTCAGTGAGGAATACTCTTCGTAAATCTGTTACTCTTCGTAAATCTGTAAAAGCCCAATACTAGAACCTTACCAAAACACTGCCCAAGATGGATTCGTGTCCAAGGGTTTGGCTTTGGGAATGCGCGCTTTGGGGGTACAGGGGGTCGGGGTCTGCCCTTACGGTTTCGAGTTTACGGGTTTAGGGTTTAGGGGCTCGAAAACTACAATCCCTAAACCCTGCACATCAACGTTGAAGTTCCTGAACACCAAACCGGATTTATCAGGGCTTACCCCTGAGGATCCAAAGGATCCAGTAATAAGGTACTCGGGTTTAGGATAGTATATGTAGGTTACTATTTTTGAGAATATAGGGCTAAAGACCCAAATTTGGAGAGTATATGACAATTATAGGTATTCGGACCCTTGGGGTGGCGTCAGGACTCCTCAGCGATCTGGTGTGCGCGCGCCCGGCGAGAATACTCTGCCCTCTCCTGGAGGCAGCAATCCGAAGTTCAGGGCTTACTCCTGCTCTAGAAGAAACTGAATTGGAATACGGTTCCTTGTAAAGGGGTCTATACGGGCTACCATAAGGGATCCATAATCTAGGGGCCTTAGTAATTAGAATAAGGTTTTGTATAACTTTAGTAGGGGGTTCCTTACTCCCCAAAGAGTATTGGTAATTTTGCAGGGCCCTAAGTTACCATTCTAGGTTCCTTATCACGATTTCATCGTATAAGTCCTCGAGAAAGCAAGCTATGTGGGACTGAGGTAAGACCTGGGCTTCACTTACCTTTGGTTGGTAGGGAATGGAGGAATGGGGTACAATTGTAACTACTATTACTACCATTCCTCCATTGCTTACCAACCAACGGTAAGTTCAGAGATTACGGCGTCCGCTGTCCTGCCAGGATGAGGGTTGCGGGACTTGGGTTTTGGAGCTTCGGGTCTTTAGCCCTAAGGGTCCAAGTACCCAACTTACTCAATGAGCCACAGAAATGAAAGGTTAAACTTTCTGATTCCTACTAAATTATAAGAACCCAAAAAGGTTAAAGGTTAGGTCAGGTATTGGGGAACTTGGCAAATTACCACATATTCTCAAAAATAGCAACCTACATAACGACGATCCCAAACTGGAGTACCTTACTACTGGGTCATTGGGTGCCTTGGGGGCTTTTAGGATCAAAGGGTGTGGGCTCCCAGAGTTTTAGGGTTTTGGGGGCTTAGGGTTTAAGGCTTCTGGTGCTTTTGTGGCTTGTTCGGGACTTCAGGTTTAGGGCTCAGTGATTCAAAACCCGTGATTCACAACCCTGAGCCCGATACCCTAGGCCTAAACCCTTAACCCTAAACCCTATACCCTAAACCTTAAACCATGAAGGGCGCCCAAGAAGGAGCCTCTCAGTTCCCTGAACCTACATTAACCCAGAATAGCCTACCTTTGTAGAGCTCGTTCGTAGGGCTTCTTTATGTGGGATGTTCCGAAAATTCGGGGTACCTTGTTTCCGGGTCCTTATGATATATTAGGATCCTACTATTTAGGATGCTGCGTTCGGGTCCCCTGTTTCGGAAACGCCGATGTAAATAGTTGCTTGAAAAATTAGGGTCCAGGTAAACTCAAAAGACTCCAAAGAACAAAAACCCAAACCTTGAAGCCGAAGACCCCCGACAGCCTTGAGGCTGAAAAACCCGAGCAGCAGCCTCTTGCACAAGTCCACAGCAGCCTTAACGAGCTCCCTATAAAGATTCGGAAAACTTGCAAAACATCCCGATGCCATCAACCGGCAAACCCAACCCTCAAACCAAGCGCACTAAACCATAAGCCACAAGACCCCTAGAGACACCCCCCGCAAGCAGCCTGCAAGAGCGGCGCCAGGATGCGAAAGTATGGCAAAGACACGGAGATGCGATCCAAAAGCATCCTTGAGGGACGCTCTTGAGCTGGGTTTGCAGGGATTACGGGGTTTAGAGTTTGAGGTATTGGAGTATTCGGGTTTAGGGGGTCGGCGGAAAATTCGGTAACTGAAACGACTGATTCGGTAGCCAGAACGGCTGATTCAAAAACCACCCATGATTCGGAAACCAGCCATGATTCAGAAACTGGAAACGAAAAATTCGGAAACCGGAAAACCTGATTCGGAATCTGGAAAGCCTGATTCGGAAACTAGACCTTGATTCGGAAACCAAAACGACTGATTCAGCAACGATGGACGGAATTAGGCTTTGGACATGGATGCTCTTTCCCAAATCGCAGTAGACCATGGACTTCATTAGGTTTTGGACATGGATGCTCTTCTCCCAAATCGCAGTAGACCATGGACGTCATTAGGTCTTGGGCATGGATGCTCTTTTCCCAAATCGCAGTAGACCATGGACGTCATTAATAGGCTTTGGGCATGGATGCTCTGTTCCCAAAGAGCAGTAGACAATGGACGTCAGTAGGCTTTGGACATGGATGCTTTTTTCCCAAATCGCAGTAGGCCATGGACGTCATCAGGCTTTGGACATGGATGCTCTGTTCCCAAATCGCAGTAGGCCATGGACGTCATTAGGCTTTGGGCATGGATGTTTTTTTCCCAAATCGCAGTAGACCATGGACGTCATCACGCTTTGGACATGGATGCTCTCTTCCCAAATCGCAGTAGACCATGGACGTCCTTAGGCTTTGGACATGGATGCTCTTTTCCCAAATCGCAGTAGACCATAGACGTCATAAGGCTTTGGACATGGATGCTCTTTTCCCAAATCGCAATAGACCATGGACGTCATCAGGCTTTGGACATGGATGCTCTGTCCCCAAAATGCAGTAGACCATAGACGTCACAAGGCTTCGGACACGGATGCTCTTTTCCCAGATCGCAGTAGACCATGGACGTCACTAGGCTTTGAACATGGATGCTCTTTTCCCAAATCGCAGTAGACCATGGACGTCATTAGGTCTTGGGCATGGATGCTCTTTTCCCCAATCGCAGTAGACCATGGACGTCATTAATAGGCTTTGGGCATGGATGCTCTGTTCCCAAAGAGCAGTAGACAATGGACGTCAGTAGGCTTTGGACATGGATGCTTTTTTCCCAAATCGCAGTAGGCCATGGACGTCATCAGGCTTTGGACATGGATGCTCTGTTCACAAATCGCAGTAGACCATGGACGTCATTAGGCTTTGGGCATGGATGTTTTTTCCCAAATCGCAGTAGACCATGGACGTGACATGGATGCTCTGTTCCCAAGTCGCAGTAGACCATAGACGTCATTAGGCTTTGGACATGGATGCTCTTTTCCCAAATCGCAGTAGACCATGGACGTCATTAGGCTTGGACATGGATGCTCTCTTCCCAAATCGCAGTAGACCATGGACGTCCTTAGGCTTTGGACATGGATGCTCTTTTCCCAAATTACGCAGTTGCCGAAGAGCAGTTTCTGAAGCGCGGTAGTTTCTGAAGCGCGGTAGTTTCTGAAGCGCGGTAGTTTCTGAAGCGCGGCAGTTTCTGAAGCGCGGCAGTTTCTGAAGCGCAGTTTCGGGCCCAGTTTCTGAAGCGCAGTTTCTGAATCAAGCGCCAGTTTCTGAATCATCGGTTGTTCGGGCCTAGGGTGTTGGGGAGAAGGATGTAAAGTTTAGGGCTTGGGGTAGTGGGGTTCAGGGTTGGGGGTGTGAGGGTTCTCCTGTCTTTTGTGTTAATCACTGATTTATATCTACATATATATATATATAGAGAGAGAGGGAGAGAGAGAGAGAGAGAGACCCTAATCCTAAAACCCGGAAGCTGCGAGACCCTGTTCAAGTAACTACGGCCCCTGCGCTACGACGTTGCAGTAACCGCTGTAGACCCCGTTTTAGGAATCCGACACCCCAAACCCGCCACCCCAACTCAACCCCACCCTTCAAAGGAACCTTACATGGTTGGTTGTCAAAATTAGGGTCCCTTTTTGGGTCCTTATTATAATAAGGCACCTAATATGTAGAGTACCCAACAAGGGACCATAATTTTGACAACCACCCACATGAGGATCCCAGCAAAATTTTCGAGGTTGTAGCGCTTCAGTTAGGGTTTGCGGGTTTAGGGCTTACGGTTCGGGGGATTATAGGAGTTATAGGGTCTAAAGCGGTTTAGGGGCCTCGGATTCAGAGATTTGGTTTTTAGTTGGGGCTTAGAGACCCTAAACCCTAAACCGTTTAGGGTATAGGGTTTAGGGCCTTGAGGATTAGCTTGATGCGGTTCAAGATTCCAGGGGTGGTAGCCTGTGGGACCACGAATGCCCAGAGAGCCCAATCTACCCTAATCAAGGGTTTAGGGTTTGGGGTTTAAGGTTTAGGGTTTAGGGTTTAAGGACCGAACGGATTATATGAAAAGGTTGAAACATAGGGTCTGATTTGAGTGTCGAAAGCCGCCCTACAGTCTACAATCCCGAGTAGGGGCAAACTAAAACCTACTGAGTATGCCCCGAAGTCGATGTGATGACCAAGGCTGACTCATCCTACATGAACAGAAGTTGATGGGAGTTGGGGCTTCCAACCTCGCACAGTAAACCCGGAAACCCCGAAGCCTCAAACTAACCCCCAAACCCGTAAACCCCTAAACCCTAAACCCCTAAACCTTAAGCCCCTAAACCCTATAACCCTGATAAGCCCTCAAAGGCCTTGAACCCTCAAATTTCGTACATGGGAGTTTCCGACAAATGGGGGACCCGAAGTTCCCCAAATAGTAGGACCCCAGAGTAAGGTACCACTTTGTTTCGGAAACTCCCACATGGGGGCGCTGCTTGAGGACTCCCCCCCAACCTACTTTCATCCAACCTTCGGAGGCCATTGATGCAAATCAGGTCTCTCAGCGACCCCTTCGTGGACCCTACAAATGCAGCCTTGCTAAGGGTGTATATAAATAAATCAATATAAAGTACGCTAAATCAGAATAAAGTACTGCAAATCAGAATAACGTACTCTAAACAGGTAGGTTGTTTAGGGCTAAGGTCAAGACAACGATCCAAAACGATAACCGTTTTCCCAACGGCTCAGTCTGCACAGGGCGACGCCAAATGCAAAGGGTCTAGGGCCCAGAGAGCCCAATACCCCTTTACTAAGGACTATACCTTAAATTATAAGGGGATTCATATTATGATTTAAGCAATATTCCTTAATTAAGGGGTATTGGGTTCTCTGGGGGGGACAACTGGGAGACGCAATAGGCTAGACGGGAAGCCTAATAGCCCAATACCCTAATGCCCAAGCCCAAAGACTAATGCACGAAGCCCTGCTGCGCCCTACTTAAACTCCAATACCTTGAGTCTGAATCCTAAACCCTAATAAAGCCCTAAACCCCTAAACCCTAAACCGGAAAGCTAGGGATTTCATACCCAAGGCACTTCCCCTCCATGTTGGTCAGCGCGCTGGCACCGGGGATAACTTCGACCACGGCATCGACGACCTGTGTTGCTAACATGTCTTCTGTTGTTTTTCATCATTCTGATTAGTATCTTCTAGTCCTTAATATTCCATATGTTACTACTGCTACCATTGCTGTTACTACTATATGACTACTACTATTTCGAATATCGTCAGTTTTAATGCTACTATCTACTGTTATTGTCATTATGATTTGAGGCTATTCGTGTTGATATTGCTATGATGGCAAGAACAGTGTCTTCCCAATCATGGTCCGTGGATTGGTGTTGGAGGTTTCGGGTTTGCGGCTCAAGAGCCGGAGATTGCGGTCTAGAGCGCAGGAAGTGAAGTACAAGATTCAGGACTCGGGGCAGGGGTTTCAGGTTGTTAGAGAATGGGAACTTTAAAAGAGACCCTCATTTACTTAAAGGATCATGGGACTTAGTAACTAGGGTTATAATAGAGGGATGATGAGGTATGGAGCAAGTTTGCGGAATGGGGGGTTGGAGTTGAGGGAATTGAAGGAATAGGAGTTTGGGGACTAAGGCGTCGAACTCCGAACAGGCAGGGAAACTGTTCTGGAATTGGCCGACGACCAGGGTTCCACTGTGAAGGGCTCAAGGTTCTCCCATCATGTAGAACCTTTTTCATTAGAATAGGGTCTTGGGCTTCTTTACATATAGCAGAACTACAGTAGGGAAGCCGAAGGAAAAATGAAGGTTGGTAATTCATTGTTGTGGCTTCTATAGTACCTGCACTAAAAGGCCGGGAGCTGGAAGAAGGGACGTTGAGACATCAGCGGTTTACACTAGAACGCTGGCGTTAGGGTTTGGGGTTTAGGGTTTAAGGTTCAGGGTTTTCAACCTTTCGAGCCCTGTTCTTGAGGGGTGAGGAGGAATTATAGTAATTAATTACCCTAGAAAGGGTGAAGGTCACCTACTCTCCTACGCAGGAGCCTCATTGAGAGTCGGATAGAAGGTGCTGCGCTGTAGCACGGCAAGAAGCTCGGCAACGGAGAGGTCGCCTCAAAAAGGCTTTGCGATTACTTTAACCTAGCATGTACCCATAGGCTCCATAGTAGTTCCTTTTTGTGGCTCAAATTTAAGATCCTACAAGTTAATCCCAAAAAAATGCTATGGAGCCTCTGGGAAATCATAACCTACTTCTGGCAGGTTCTTATGATAAACCCGAAGCGGATTTGAGAGGGACCCTGCGAAAAAGTAGGTTTTGGTAGGTTCAGGTAGCACGTGTGGCTTGGTGAATGCTAAAGGGAGGGCGGGCCCGGGGTGAACCGCTAAACATCCCTAAGCTTTTAAACCCGCTGTAAGCCGTATTATTATAGTACGGCACCGAATATTTTGGGTACCCAAAAAGGGACCCTAATTTTGACAACTACCCATATAGTATATACTTAGGCCTTTAAGGGGTACCCATATAGGTACTTAAAGGCCCAAGTACATATTATGTAGGTACATGCAGCCTTAGGGTGGGGCATGAGGAAAGGATGTTTAGGGTGTTGGGCTAGTTAGAGCTTAGGGCTTAGGGGTCTGAGGTTGCAGAGCTCTTTTGGGCTTTAGAGGCTATCGGAAGGCTGAAGATTCAGCATCTGTTGCTGCGGCTTGCGGCTTGTCGTTCGGATTGCGAGGCGCTGTGTTTGCTGGGCATTTTTGGTAGGGCTTCAAACTCTAAGCGGTCTGCCCAAGCCTCGCTAAGCTTGCCTCGGATATTTTGTATATTTGGAGTCTCATGGCTAGTTATAAGTGGGGCTATAAGTCCTCTTATCTGGGTTATAAGTATAGTTACCCTACTTTTGAACTTATATCTACCCGAATCTACCCATGAACCTCCAAGTAGGATCTTTGCCAACAGTGGGGTCAAAGGGCAAAGGTTCAAGGCATGGTCTGATGATCTCTTCGGAGGTTTCTATGTCAAAGCAAGGCCTACCTTGAACGGCCAAAGCCCTAAACCTTACAGTTGCAAGACTCTGTCTTCTCAGATGGAACTATGACTCCAACGGATGCAGTTTCAACTTTGCAGCAGTGGACTCAAGAATTGAAATGCGCGGTTGAAGTGCCCGCAGTCGGGTGCAAATATGTGTGCTCAGACTTGCAACGGAATGGAGGACAACAGCGAGACTCGCGACGAGTCTGATGCCCATCCATGGAAAAACGCACTTGTTCACTAGCCCGCCCCCTTGCAGCTCATTCCAGTGCGTTCCTGAGCCATTTCAACACAAACCAACATCCACCGTGCTCCACAAGCACCACGAACCAGAGTTGGAATGCTCCAACTAGAAGGCTCGAGCAGTAGATGAAGTCTTGCCTGATCACGACACTGGTGACTTCCCACTGACCCCCGTCAGAGCCAGAAGAGCAACTTGAAGGCCCAGGTACACCCCTAACCCAATCAAGAGAGCCCAAACCAGGCCCAGGGTGCCCCGAGTCATCAGAAAAAATCAAGAAGTGTTGCCTGTTCGCCCCGAAAGGTGTGCTTGTCAGAAGCATAGACATCATGGGGTAAATCACAGGCACAGCCGTTTCGAAGAGTTCCACAGTGACCAGGAGGGACAAACTTCGAGCAAAATGTCCATACTGCTGGGCGTCTGAACTGCTGATGTGCATCTCTCTAAGCTGCTGTGCTGTCATCTCCTCAGCAGAAGATATGAACGCACGAAGTTTGTGAAGGACAGCTCGGACTCTGTCAAGCTTCTTGCGAACGAAAGCCTTGCGATTGATAGTTCCGCAGCAGTTGCTTTGCCCAGCTCTCAATGCATCATCTTGGCCGTCGTGTGGTTCCTCCGAATTCTCCGCAGCTTCGTAGAGAGCCACAAGCTCCGCGAACGAGATGCATGCCATGGCCAATGCCTTTCCCGCGTCAAGCAGGGCAAGCAACAGGAGCACCGCGATGCTCTTGGATTGAGCGATCAGCGAAGTGGAAAACAAGAAGGAAGTAAACAGTGCGAACACCTGCACCTCGGTAGTAAGACCCTTCGGCAGGTCGAAACAGCGGTCGCCAACACGCATCAGGCCGCTGTTGATGGCGGAAACTAAAGCGGTCGCACCAACAGAACTCAGGCCTTGAGCCATGCCAGATAGGTTAGGAAATGACACCCACCAAGCGAGCAGGAACGCCTCCAAGAACGCCCAGAGAAGAGTGCATATTACAAGGAATCGTACATATTGCTTGTTCCGGGACCGCAGGTGTGATGTCATCAAGGAGGACGCCATGACAAATGATGCCAGCAATCCTGGGACCCGGGTGACAAGAAATTCCAGCGGTATCGGAGCTACCCCAGCACTGCTCAAAATCAACTGCAGGATTACGGTGACCGCACAATTAGTCGAGCATGCAAGCAAGCAATGTGATAGCGGCAACTTGCGAGCAGGATTCCTTTGGCAAGCCACGAGTGCACAGCTGCATCCCGGCAAAGCCAACTGTGTAACTCACAAACACGACATAAAGAAGCAGATGGCTCCAGCTGTCCCACAACATGGCATCAGGAGCTCCCATTGGAACCAGGAAGGGGCCAACCGATACAACAGCAATCACAAGTATAAGCAGCACCACGAGAAGGCTCTCAGCCAGCCGCCGGCATCGCGACTTCCCTCCCCGACAGCGGTCCAGCAAGCAAGTTGCCATGTGCTGGCCTACTGCCTGCAGAAGATCCGAGTCGTCCTCACGAACAGCTGAAGGGACAATGCTATCGAAATTGCTCTTCCTATCGTCCCTGCAGCCATCGGCTTTGTCTGCTCGTTCCGGCGCTTGCTGGCTCAGCTCCCTTGTGCTCGTCAACTGTGGAGGCTCGGCATTGGGAGCTAGCGGCGAGTCGTCACTCACGGACGGCTACTTTGCCCGTTGTCCGGACAGCCAGGCAAGCTGACATCCTGTTTAACAGGGGCAGCTTGCACAGGGCTTGCCATGGCTCAAGGCGCGGCGTGGCTCCCAGTCTCCCAACTTTGAAGCTCACATGCTGCTTCAACTCAGCATACCACAGATCTGACATCCTTACCTGACTGCTACACTCCCTGTCAGCCTAGAGCAGCTAGAGTTTGGAAAAGAAGGTGTTCTGAGCCGCATAAGAGCCTGGGAGTAACGGATCAAGGTTCACAGCTGCGACGAGGTTTCTTTGCCAGGAAACTCTTGTCCTCTGCCGCTTCCTGGAAGAGGTTGATGAGCCCGGGCCTTCATAACAGTTGATGATAAAAATCCTGCATTACCCATGATAAGGAATATACCATAATTCCCATAGTTTAGGGTCGTTAAAGTCATGCAGGATTTATATCATCAGCCGTAATCACGTGAAGAGCTCTAGTCATTCACAGCATGCTAAGTTGCCATGTTAACATGCGTAAACCAATGCAGACATCCACGGATGATAACAACCCCTTCCGAAAACCTGAGAAGCAGCCAGGTCTTCAACCTCAAGTGAACATCCAGCACCTCCAACAAATATGACTATAATATAGGGGCCTCAATAATTAGAATAGGGTTTTGTGCCGAATATACTATAATGATGATAAGGAACCACCCCAAGTAGTATAGGTAATTGTTTATTTAGGCCACTATAGTAGAAACCTCATTCCCCAGGCAAGCCCTGAAACAAACATTGACCAAGACAAACCCGAATAGCAAGGAAGCAAAGAAGCTGAGCTAGCGCATATCTGCAGAGCACCCGTGGCTGTTTGTGTTCGCGGAACCTCTGGAATCTTGAGGTTCACGGTGTCTGTACAGCAATCTTGCGCTTCACAATGCTCCTGAGAAAGCCCAAACCCGTAACACTAAAGCCTGACGCACTAAACTCTAAACCCTGGAAGCCCTAACCCCTTCGACCCAACCCCACCGCCTTCGTAGCTCTGCCAACTGCACACGCACCTGGAACGCATCAGGAACTCTACTTGTAGTAAAGCTGCTGCTGCTGCTACTACTGCTACTACTGCTACTACTTGAAGGATCATGGGACTGAGTAACTTGAATACTTAACAGACTGCTTAAAGGGCTCTATAAGGGTTCCTGGTAGGGAACATGGAACTTAGTCACTAGGGTTATGTGGTTGTACCTATGGCTACTTACAATCCGAAGTACCTCTTCGTCGTTCCATTCCCCTCCGGTCTGTGCATGTGTCTGCCTGTTTAACTAGATTAACCTCCATCAATCTGCTGCTACGGCTACAGCGATGACTACGCCGACGGCGACAACCAGGCCCACTAGCACCACCATGGCGATCACCATCACCATCCGCATCACAACCAAACCCACCACAATCACCAACAAGACCGCCACCATCACCACCACTGCCGTCGCCGCCACCATTGCCACCGCCACCACTGCCGCTGTATCCCATGGGTATTGTTTGCCGCGATGATTCTGTTGACAGTATGCCTACTTGAAGTTTTTTTTGACACCAAAAGTTTCGAACCTCGTTTGATGGTTTGAAGAAATCAAAAAAGATCAAACTGACCACTACTATTACGATCTCGATTATCAGGATGCCGACCCCTGATTAACGCACGCCTCATTTAACGACACCCGTAGATCATCATGACCCCACACACAAAGACAAAGAAATGCTAAACCTCCGTGGGCCTGTGGCACCAGGTTCTGAATCACGTAGTCAGCATCGACCTGATCCGTCCACGTTTTGACGGTGTCGGGATTCCGATCGCGGCGGAAGTGCAGGGTCTTAATTTCATTGGTGTTTGTTGCCCAAACCCTAAACAGGAATCCCCTTCAACCCTTTGAAAAGGCACCTTCATCGACCTGTGCCTTCCTTACAGGCGACTCCGACTCACCACCCTGGTTTGGGAGGCGGCTTCGCGTCGTGGGCCTTGGATCTTGGGCGTTGGGGGTGTTTACATTACGCATTGAAGAAACCCTTCCGAAAGCGCCTTCCTGAAAAAAATGAACTAATCCAGGCCTGTACCCTAAATCCTCAACCTCGAGACACTGCAGGCTTTTCAAGCCCTTCTAAGCCCAGCTAAGAAGGGACACCCCTTTGAAGGGAAACTGAGCCCTCCGTAGCGCAGACGGTAGGCAGAGAACTAATACTAGCGGGGCCGTAATACTTGTTGAAAGGATTTGGGGATTCTTTCGTGCAGCATCCCTTGTAGCAGGTATAAGGGGACACTATTGCTAAGTAGCTGATTCGTCGAAGTCAACCTCTCTCTAGTTCCTGTTGAAGATCCCGTTGATTACGAAGCAGCAGAAGCCCGAAAACGTAAACCCGAAGAATATATCCCTAAACCCTTACCCTAAAGACCCAAACCTAAAGCCTAAACGAAGTGTTCGAGATCGGGTCATCGGGTTTAGGGTTTAATGTAGGAACCTGATTAAGAACCTTGGGCCTTTATTAGGGTTCCTTAAATGAATCCTACTATTTTGGGGTTATAGGCCCAGGGTTTCTTAATCAGGTTCCTACATTAGGACAAAGCCGAAAAGGTTGCCTACCGAGCTACCCAGAGAAGTGAAGTATGCCACTATTCCCACAGAACAGCAAATCTTGACACTCCCCGCAATTCCTGTGGAGCCCAAGTTATATTCTCTCCAACACCCTGTGTATCTTTCAGGTGACCGCGCAAATAGGCAACGCCCAATACCCCAAAACCAAAAAACTTCACCTAGAAGACCTTGACACAACGCAGGGTTCTTGTTGAAGAGTTTAGTTTAGTATAACAATCATCGGGTTCTTGTGTTAATAATGGAGTTTCTTTCTTAATTATGGTAACTTACATTACAGTAAATCCCTTAACAAGAACCCAGAAGAAGCTTTGCAGAACATCCAAGTTCAAGCTGCTGCTTCGCCCTGAGAATGTGAAGCTGTGCGGCACAGCCGCTGCATCCTCCAGATTACGCTTCCAGTAGGCTCCATCAAGTCGGCCAGAAGAAGCTAGCACATCCTTCGAGTTGCGACAAGCGCCAATGTACTTCACGACAAACTCGTACCCTGTTGCCTGCCCAAGGACCCCAGAACCCCCTTACTTAAGTTAAGGAATATACCTTAAATTATCGTAGGATCCCTACTAAGATTCAAGGTATACTCCTTAATTCTGGGGTTTTGCAGCCTCTGGGTTCCAGGAGACAGAGGATGTCGAGAGGAGTTTGCCTCGCACCCACGCTCTTGTTGTGAGGGCTTCCGACAATCGCACTGGGCCTTAGCAAGTTAGGGCGTTAGGGTATACGTACCGTAATTGGGGAAAAGCAAAGCAACCGCATGGAAGTATGGGAACCTGATATATAACCCAAACTCTGAAACACACCTTCAAATCTTGAAGAGCCCTTATAGAGCCCATTTAAGATCCTGATACCTTTCAGTTACCATGTTCCCAAATCCTTCCAGTAGCCTGAACCCGAACTCCTAGACCCTAAACCAAACCCCTAGCACCCTAAACCCTCAACCCTAAACCCCTCACATACCCTGAAACCTAAACCCCTGACACCCTAAACCCTGAACCACTCAACCCTAAACCCGAAAGCCTCATCCTGAAACCCCTCAACCGTAAACCCCAAATCCATAAACGCGAAAGAACAATGCGCCTCCAGTGATGCCACTTTGAAGAGGAGCTCTCGCAAAGCTGCGCGCTCTGTCTGGTTCCTGCGTTTTGGGGCTTAGGGTTTAGGCCTAGGGTTCGTTTAAGGGGATCCAAAAGGGTTTCTATAAGGGTCTTAGGGGTAAGGGCCTCTAGGGTTTATAGGTTTTAGGATTTAAGGTTTAGGAGTTTAGAGGTTTAGATCTCGGGTCAGGGCGGTTCCGCGGCTTAGGGGCTTAGGGCTTGGATCTACAGGATTTCGGGGGTTACGGGCTTCGGGGTTTAGGGTTTAAGGTCTACCTTACTATAGGTTCCCTGATCCTCCAAGTAGGAGAATCAATGGAATTGGCAAGTAAAACTACAAGTACCTGAGTTGCGAACCCCTAAACCGAAACCCCAATGAGCACGCCTACATCCGAGTTGTGGATGCACTTGAGCCAAGGATTGCTATTAATCCGGCAAGCCAGCGGCCCTGCAACAACCGAATATAGAAGTCTGAACAATACTAGCCTGTAGGGTTCGTCATATACCTATGCTAGAGCCTAAACCTTAAACCCTAAACC